AGAGAGGGTGATTCCAAATATCAGCAGTGTTGAAGGTAATTGTTTTAAGGAGAGTGTTTGACAGTTATACCTGGGAGCCAAGTACCCAGAGTCATATACAGTGAGGATGCAACACTATTAATGAGATAACTAATCTTTGTGTGTGTACTGTTTTTGCACATAGTACTGAAAAGAGTAATAGTGGAAGTATTATATCCTTAAATTTAGTTACATAATTTTCTGAAATACATCTCATTTAAATATTTATAAGAAACGATAAGACAAATTTAAGGGAACACCATTTTAGGGAACACTTTCAAATGTTCAGTTTCTGTACCATAAGAACCACTGCAATTGAAATTGTGGGTGGGGTCTTTAATATTTTAGAGAAGTCAATTGAGTCTAATGATAGATTAAATGTCATGTTGAGGCTGTAATTAAAAACACCCACAATATTGGTAGAGCTGAGGATGCTATATTTGTCATTTGTTTTATGTGTAAATTGTTTTTTGGGGGGTCTGGGAGCAGACACTTTCTCAAAGTGGATGGGTTTGGGGGGGATAACAGGAGGAGAGAAGCTGCAGTTTTCAACTCATGTTTTAGGGAGTCCAAGTTATTTTTTGGACACCGATAAGAGCCAGCACTTAAAGAAGAACATGTGACTAAACATGTCACCCCTGGTCAGAGTATGTTTATATACCACTACTGCATGCCATTTACTTTTTGTTCTCTCTCTATAACCTCCATTCACTCTTCTCTTTCCCTTGATCCACAAACCAACCATGGCAGATGTTGTTACGCCCTGAGCCTGGTTCTGCTGGCAGTTTGTTCATGTTGAAAGGGTGTTTTTCCTCACTGCTGTTGCCTATGAGTACTTGCTCATAGGGGATCATTGATTGTTGGGGTTATCTGTCTAATATTTGCAATATACCTCGATACTATACATCTATACTGTTATTGTGAATTAGTTCTATAGAAATAACAATGAACTGAAATTAAATTAAATTTTTTTAGTAGTTTTTTCTCCCCTCACTTGCATAAGTGACACATTTCATGTTTCCTTCTCTTTACATGTCAAGCATTTTGAAGTAGACTCTTCTGTAAAGGAAAAAGAAAACTGTGAAGAAAAAAGAGGTCACTAATGTGAGGAGTTTTGTTCTTAATGCATTTCAATGTTCTTATTTTTTACATGCTTTATATTTTATCTTGTCTTTTGTTGCTTGGTTTAGTTTACAGGAGAGGTTACGCAAAGGCATTTTATAAGACGTAGATATGGTTGGAAAGTGAATTACAGGACAAGGAAGGTAAAGATCATGATAAGGATTGATTGAAAACGTCACTGACTGCTGGTCAGAGACACACTGTAACCACTGTTTCTCTACATTGTTAAGATTCGTTGTCATGTTGTTTGTTTTTC